CTTCAATGAGAAAGTCCCCGAGCCGTCTCCGTGAGTGTCCGATTCGCACTCTCGGCGATGCCGTTCATTGCAGGAGAGTAGGGCATGGTAAGAGAGTGCCTTATGCCCTGCTTCTTCAGCCAAGTTGAGAAATCCTTGCTCAGGAACTCTCCCCCACGGTCAGTGCGAATCGCCTTCACAAGTCGGTCTTGTTGCCGCTCCACCATCGGCAACCAATCGGTCTTCACCGTTTCAGCTACGTCACTCTTCTTGGGCAGTACATACACCCAAGTCATGCGAGTGTAGACGTCCACAATGGTGAGGAAGTACTCTGCTCCAGCAGCTCCAAGCTTCAAGGGGCCCACCACATCCATCACCACCTCATCAAGTGGTGCCTTCGCCGTTGTCTCCGAGCTATGGAACGGGTAGCGGGTGAACTTGGCTTGCATGCATGTTGGACAGCCAAGCACCTCATTGGGCTCCCCCTTGACACGTATCCCACTGACCATCTCTTGCTTAACAATCTGCTGCAAAATGGGCAATGCCACATGCCCCATTCGCCGATGCAAGGTCAGCCAATCACACTCTCCCGTAGCGGAAGTCGGGTTGGAGAAAGCGGCACTCGCAATTGTGCCCCACAAGCTCTCTCCTTTCTCCTTCGCCGCTGCTGCTTTGTTGATCTTAGCCTTCTCCTCCTCATTTCCACCACCTTTGGCTGCTGCACCATTCTCCTTGGGTTCACACGCCTTGCTGGTCTCTCCAAGGTTGCACTCCTTCGAGTCACTCTTGGTGTCACTTTGCTTTCCGTGATCACCGCCACCAACCGCTTCACGCTTGGTGCTGACGCTTGCTGCCACTTGCCTCTCTTTAGGCATGGGGACCACTGGGATTTGCCACATCTCATTGTAGATGTCCCTGTCCCCATGAAGGTCCCAAAGCTTCCGCTCACCAAGCCTTGCGGTATAGGTTTTGGATCCCTTGGAAGATGTGTCCATGCCGGCCTTTTGCAAACGCCGAACGGAAATCAGGTTGGCTGCTAGGTTGGGCACCAAAAGCACGTTCTTGAGGCCCACCATCTTCCCATCAGCACCCTTGAACATGGCCTTGCCCATGCCCTTCACCTCTGCTCGCTGCCCCAAAGCCGATGTAACATGCTTGACCGGCGACGGTTCGAGTTCGGTGAGCAAGTCCGCACGAGGTGTCATGCTGTAGGTGGCGCCGCTATCGATCACCCAAAAGTCCAGAGAGTGAAGGGTGACCTTTCCCACAGTAGCTGGCTCCTCAAAGCCTTCCACACCTCCTGCTGCAGCTGTCGCTTGCGTGGAGACAAAGAAGAATTGGCCCGGGTATCGATCTTCACTCGAGTCCTTGTCGTAGTCTCCACCTTTCATGCTTGCCGCTTCGCTTCCACGACCACCACGGCCTCCATGACCTCTGCTCTTCCTCCCCTTGCTCCTCTGCCCTCTTGGCCTTGAGAAGGGGTCCATCCATCAGGCAATCTGAAGCAATCTCTCCACATGTGGCCGGTCTTGTGGCAAAAGTGGCATTCGCCATCAAATCGACCGCGCCCACGCCCGTAGCCATTGTTGTTGTTGTTGCTGCCATATCCTCCATTACCACGGCCTCCATTGAAGTTACTGCTGCCAAATCTTCCTCCTCGCCCTCTGCCCCTTCCACGGCCGTGCCCACGGCCCATGCTTGCAACTCCGGCACCATCGGGACCCGCCAATTCGCGACGGCGGAAATCTTCTTGTAAGATTTCCCGCTTCACATCTTCGAGTGAGAGACGGGGCAGATCTCGATTAAGGTTGATGATGAGCGAGGACCATGAGTCCGGAAGTAAGGCCAACAGCTTGGTCTTCTTTTGAAGGTCACTGTAGTTCAGGTCAGCTCCTTCGAGCCGTGTCAACAAGTCGAAGAATTTCTGCACTCCTTCCTCCACCGGTTCGCCTTCGTCAATTCGAAGTGCCGCCATTTGCCGCTCCAAAACCACAGCCACCGCCGCTGTTGCAGGAGTGTGTACACCCTTGAGAGCAGCCCATGCCTTTGGTCCCTTTGCTGGTTCACGCTGAAAAGGCTTGATGTGACGGATTTGGCTGCTCCCCAACGCTTGCCCAAGTAGAAGGTAGCCTTGTGCGCTCTTCCGCACCCACGGGCTCTTCTCCGGGTCGTTCTCGGGGCGCTTCTCCGTTCCTTCCATCACCTCTAGCAGATCATAGTGGTCAAAGATGTTCTCCATCTTGAAGGACCACTCAGCAAAGTTGTCACCGTTGAACTTGTCAAGGCCAAACACTCTAGGCTCATCCCTAGAGGGTCCAAGGCTAGGTTGCACCGGAGCAACGGGTGAATCTTGGTGTTGACCTTGTGCTTGGGCGTCTTCTCTGCCTCCAGCACCTCTGCCACCCCCTTCCTCAGGTCTAGGCATGGTCGAGACGGCTCCAAGGGGCTCTGATACCACTTGTTATAGTCACAATAGGCTCAGATGTGCCTATAATGAGAGATAGAGAGCACAGTCGGATTTCCGTCAGACGGCTTCAAATATTGATAACGATCTGCTGGCTGAGTCAAACTATGATCTGTAAGTTGGATCTGGAGCGCGTTGCTGTCGTCTATCAGCAGCAAGTTGAATCATGAATTTCCATGAAGCTTTGACGACGCTATGGCGGTTTGACTGGCAGGAGGAATAGGAGCCACTATAGTCTTGGAAGTACAAAACTTAGCAAGAAGAGTTCGAGAGGGATGTGGTTCCCAGCCTCTTCATACCCCAAGAGCCGAGGTCCAGGTTGGTGGTACACCACCACAGAGTCCCCAACCATGAAGAGTCTCGAAACCAACCCTCCAAGGGGCTACACCAAGTGAAATGTAACACTACACGAAGTAACGTTACTATTTTCACTATTTAATATTTATCCGCGTCCTTGGGCTTGAAATCTTGAGCTCTTGTTCTTGGATCTGCAAGATAAATTCTTCTTGAGTTGATGGGGGCTTGCTGCACACACCTGCAACACGATGGACACTTCACACTCGACAAAATAGAAAAAACACATGCGACACACAAACGACGACTTGACATGCGAGTTGTAAAAACTCGCTAATGTCTTGACCGACACAAACCACATTGTGATACACCATTCAAACACACACAAAAGCACTGGATAGCAATGACATAGACTCACAATTCATTCCATGCCATGCATGCACACACACAAACAAGGACGACAAGCCGAGTGCAAGCCATAAGGTTGCACCAACAGGACAGGCAGAAAACACTCTATAACTAACCCCTCTCAACCCCCCGCCCCCCACTAACGTATGCCCCCATCTCTTTCTCCCCCCCTCCCCCCCTTCCCTCCCCCCTCCCCTCCTCCCCACTCTCTCGCAGCCTACCGGGTGGCACATGATTGCCAGTCAAGCTCACCTTGGACAACCTCTCCGTTAAAAGCCAGACTTCACCCCAAACCTATCCACTCACTCCCCCGTGCATCTCTCAACAAACCACATTCTGTGGGTGATCTCCGTGCGGCCACGCATTCAGACATTCAGTCGTTATTGGCAAATGCTAACCATGTTTCTTCTCTAGCATCATCTACGACGGCTGCAGAAAATGGAAATTATGTAACCCTACATATATGAACGACACCTTGCAACTGAGTTGGTCCAGGGTTGTAAAGCCAAATTGAATTTTGGGGTCGCAATTTCTCTCCCTCAAGTTTGTTACATTGTTCCTGCCACATATATATGCGACCTTTTCAGGTTATGAACGACTTGTCGGTCGTTCTGTAAGAGTACATGAACTTGGCACCAATTTTAGCAACAAGAGTAGCTTTTTATCTTTAGCATAAAGTCATATTAGTCTAGATACATTCAGAAAGCCAAGTTCCCATGGAAAGCGATTTAATCTACTAAACAAATCCAAGACACACACTGAGATATATCGAAAACGTTTTAGCATATACAGTAACAAGTGTTGGTTACAACACCTCCATCCAACCACCAAGAAGGGCATAGTCCAACGGAATCGGTGCGAAACACGGCTTTATGAAATTTGTGAATACCGAACTGAACCGAATTGATCGCAAATTACAGCGTGCTATAGAGCGCGCGGATTCTGGGATCCAAAATTTCAGCTCCTATTTGCTTGATATTCGGGTCTGTAGAAACATGCCCCTATTCACAAAATGACGTGCTGACCAATCACACACCCCCGCCCCCTACCAAACCTGCAACCGAACCCAACAAAATTTATTCATCCAACTCAGCCCCTGCACCTCGTCCAACCAATCAAAATCTGCCAAGCGGTTCCAGAGCGGCTAATCCAGCTCAACCACCTCCTCGCCCCAACCACCCAGCCCACCACGCTGCACCCCACATGCCAGCACTCCAGCCCACCACACACTTCTGATCCCTTCCTTACTTGCCCCCTTGCACCCTCTCATGCCTTCCAGCTAGACGTCACTTACAATAATAGTCCTCGGGAGTTCTATCTGCATCAGTTTCAACTCCCGCTCTCGCCTTCGCGCCCCCTAGTGAGCAGCTCCTTCCTCTCCCACAGGCTTCAATTACCACGGTCGTTCTTAGTGTGCCCTATGCTGAGGATCTCGTTTCACGATGGTCTATCGTTTCAAGCAGCTCATAGGTGACTAGTCTTGTTCACCCATGTCATTCTTATCTGCATGTTCATGAGCTAATGCGCCATTGGGGTTGAAGGCATTTGTTGGTACTTGACGTATCAATCAAACTAATGATTCACATGTGTCCTCATGATGCTTGTCTTTATCGCAGCTAGCCATGTAACTCTGTCCAACATCGAGATAATTCCCCATGTAAGTCCAATTGTAAGTCTCGCTGGTCATTTGATCGTCGGACTAATTTCACAACAATGTCTCGTATGACATGCAGAAATTTGTAGCCTACCACGAGCTATTTCCTTCGGTAAGCCGGCTTTTGTAATTGCTGTCGTATGGAAACTAATTTGATTACAATGTTTGAACCTAATGTGCAGGACTCAATATCCAGCGTCGCGCTACTTCGTTGTTGTAAGCATTGTCCTAATTGTTGGTGATTTTGACCTTGGATTAATTTCGAGATAACAAGTTATGAACGTAACGTGCAGGAATAATTTGCTTGTTGCATTATAAGTAAATCCAAACAAGGCATGCCCTAATTGTACTGAACCATGCCCGAAAGGGTACTGCAGCCTGCAAAAACGGATCCATAAAAAACACCGCCAAACGTTTGCAACAAATCATGCTGAATACTAAAAATGGTGAACATAAACTTCTCTATGCATTTACATGTTCACTGCAGAAGTTGTAGAAAGAACACCGCCATGCATTTGTAAACGAACCATGGAGATTACTGAAAAGACGCCTCTAAGCATTCGCTGTCGTGAACCAAAAAGTGTTTCGGGAAATGTTGTCAAAGCATTCGCCAAGTGTTCTAATCTAAGTCCGCCAGGAATTTTCACCCACATGTTTGCAAAACGTTTGCAAGCAGTTGTGCGAATGCTACGCAATCGTTTTGAGAGCATACGTTTTTTGCGATGTTGCCACCCCCCTCCATTCCCCCCATTTCACTGAATCTCCCCTACCTTGCTGAGTTCTCTTTATCTTGCTGAATGCCCCTGCCTTTCTGAATCACCCCTACCTTGATGAATTCCAACTACGTTGCTTAATCAAGCCTACCTTGCTGAATCACCCCCACCTTGCTTAATAATCCCTACCTTGCAGAATTCCCACGACCTTGTTTTCTCACTCCTACCTTGCTTAATGATCCCTACTTTGAATAATCACCGCTGTATTGCTTAATCACCCGAAAATTGCAGAATTCCCGATATCTTGCTGAATCTCCCCTTCCTTGCTGAGTTCTCTCTATCTTGGTGAATCCCCTCTTTCTTGCTGAATCACCCCTTCCTTGATTAATCAACCCAACCTTGTTGTCTTTCCCCTTTCTTGCTCAATCACCCCTACCTTTCTCAATCACCCCTACCTTTATTAATCAACCCTACCCTGCTTAATCAACCCTACCTTGTTGAGTCCCCCCTTCCTTGTTGAATTAACCCTACCTTGCTGAATTCTCCCTATCTTACAGAATCCCCCCTACCTTGCTTAATTACCCTTACCTTGCTCAATTCTCACTATCTTGCTGAATCATCCCTGCATGCCTATCAAATTGTAGGCCTTGTTTCAAAGTGGGCAAGGAGATATTTCATTTGGAAGGTTTGCACTTGACCAATACTAGACCAAAGCCTAACCATGCTGAGACCTGGATTCTATATAATAAACAAAAGCTCCTAAGTTCCATAATTCGTGGGTTTTCAAAATGGTGTTCGACTCGTGAGCATGACTATCGAATTGTAGGACCTTATTCCAAGTCGGCAAAGAGGTATTACTTTTAGAAGTTTTGCACTTGACCCGTACTAAATCAAAGCCTAACCATGCCTCTCAGAGGGGTGGCAAACCATTCACACGCCACTCTCGGAGGGTGACAAACCACTCCCACGCCACTCTCGGGGGTTGGCAAACCACTCGCACGCCACTCTGGGGGGTGGCAAACCACTCGCACACCACTTTGGGGGGTGGCAAACCACTCCCAAGCAACTCTTGGGCGTGGCAAACCATTTGCATGCCACTATCAGAGGGTGGCAAACCACTCACGCACCACTCTCGGAGGGTGGCAAACCACTCGCACGCCACTTAGGGGGGTGGCAAACCACTCGCACGCCAATAGGGGGGGTGGCAAACCACATGCATGCCAACCTCGGTGGGTGGCAAACCACTCGCACGCCACTCTCGGGGGGTGGCAAACCAATCGCATTCCACTCTGGGGGGTGGCAAACCACTCGCACACCAGTCAAGGGGGTGGGAAACCACTCGCACGCCACTCACATGGGGTGGCAAACCACTCGCACACCACTCGAGGGGGGGGCAAACCACTCCCAAGCCACTCTGGGGGGTGGCAAACCATTCGCACGCCACTCTTGAGGGGTGGCAAACCACTCACACGCCACTCTGAGGAGTGGCAAACCACACGCACCCCACTCGTGGGGGTGGCAAACAACTCGCACGCCACTTTGGTGGGTGGCAAACCACTCGCACGCCACTCTTCTGGGGGGTGGCAAACCACTCGCACGCCACTCTTTGGGGGTGGAAAACCACTCGCATGCCACTCTCGGGGGGTGGCAAACTACTCAAACGCCACTCTGGAAGGGTGGCAAACCTCTCACACGCCACTCGGGGGGGTAGCAAACCACTCGCATGCCACTTCAGGGGTGGAAAACAAATCGCACGCCACTCGAGGGGGTGGCAAACCACTCCCGAGCCACTCTGGAGCGTAGCAAACCATTCGCACGCTACTTTCGGAAGGTGAAAAACCACTCGCACATCACACTGCAGGGTGGCAAACCACTCGCACGTCAGACTGCGGGGTGGCAAACTATTCGCATGCCACTCTTGGAGGGTGGCAATCCACTCGCACGCCAATCTTGGAGGGTGGCAAACCACTCGAACACCACTCGGGGGGATGGCAAACCACTCGCACGCCACTCTCAGTGGGTGGCAAACGAGTTGCACGACACTCTAGGGGGTGGCAAACCACTCCCAACCCTCTCTAAGGTGTGGCAAACAATTCGCACGCCACTCTCGGAGGGTGGCAAACCACTCCCACGCCACTCTCGGAGGTTGGCAA